CTAATTCCATCACAAGTATAATACAGTTTGACGAATAACTCCACTCCTTGATCATTGTTCTGAGGGTGAAGTCAATTCGAGAGAATTCCGCCACCAAGTGCTCAACCAGTTGGGTCAAGTAAGTAGTTGTACCGAAGAAATCAAGAAAATCTGAAGTGTGCAGACATCAGTAGGGAGTAAGAGTGAGACTTCTTTGAGTAGCAACAAATACTGATGTGAATTTAGAGTAAATATAGACCTAGATATATACACATTTGGCTAGATAACTGATGCATACCTTGATTGACACATGTTTAACAAGAAGGCCATGCATCGTCATAACGAGGATGTCAAAACACGGTGGAAGCGTGCTACTCTCGCCTGGCCATGCCACAATAATCTGCCAGCCGAAATCTTTTTTCTTTTCCTTCCAAGACGGTAAAAGAAGTCCTCTGTGTCCAGTACGTAAGAAATCTGCAAGGCTTTATCTTATCAATGCAATAATTCATAGGGGATGTTACTACAAGTGCCAGATGCACTCATCGAGCTATCTGCTCTCTATTTTGGTTTGATTATGTATGAGTTCTCAGCTAAAGATAAAAACAATAATAGGATAAACAAGAATCAGGCACTAACTTTCTCAGTACAACTAATGCTACATAAGGTTAAAAGTATATAAACAATTTCACAAAGTTGTATTAAACATATGCAATTTTAGCAGTTGCAGTCAAAGTAGAAATTCATGTACCTTTGATGAATTTGAAGCCATCTTACACTCCAAGCCATTTACGAGTATAATATTTTCCCTCACCATGCACAGGGCAGAAGATACGTCATGGTCAGTATGTTTTCTCTTGTTTCTGCTCACAGATCTCACAAAAGGAAATTACAAAAGAAGCAGATCAGACACGGAAAACATTGAATGTTTATTCTACTTCTTGACACGTAAAGCAAAATATTTTCATTGATAAAATTGCACCAAAAAAGTTGAAGATAAGGTAGCTTATCCTCTTTAACAGTGAAGAGAACTTGTAAATTCCACCAAGTTGTCTAAATCATTACCTAAATCTGTGTTACACCATAAAAAACATGTGTAAGCATTTGAACTTTACAAAAGGCAAGGATAAATTATCATCCTCTAAACACCGATAATTTCTTTCTATCCATACTGTCCAAAGATTGAATGCTTATTCTACTGACACAGTTACTTAATTGAGAAAATCGAGAGCAAGGTACTGAATCTCAAGGCAAAGGCAGGTGTGTTCTCCAGCCTCCTTTCTCAAGTAACACTTTCCAAAGGGCAGTCAAGCAAGGTTTTCCAGTTAGCACCAAAAAAGCATCATGATCTGCACCTCTGTCGACATAATCTGTCCATATCTGACATATACTAGAGTGGAACAAAATCTTCTGCTTTAATTAACCTACAGTGACTGTATATACAAGGAGTCAAAAGTTTATACTAATTTTTGAGGTGGGCCCAACCCAAATGAAATTATGTTTTTTTTTTCAATAATTTGAAGATCCAGAATAAAAAACCAAGTCCCATGTTTACTTTTACAAAAGCTGATGAAATATATGCAATTTGTTTTAGAGCAACAAATCCGGACAGACAAGGGTAGAATAATAAAATTGGACTATGAGTAGACTACCTATAACCTACAAAAACATAACGTTGGAGGACATGAACTAATACAAACTCATGCCCTCCTCACTCCCACTGATCTCTTCAAACCGAGAAGAGTATCCATATTTTTGGTTGAGCTTTTGACACATGCTGCATTCCCAAACTTAATCTTTGGATAGGAATCAAATTACCTCTTCAGCATAACTGCTGACGATTCTTTCTTCCCATGTTCAACAGATAGATAATCATTATATAGATAACCAGCAAAATTGGGGTCTACATAAACTGCAACAACTTCAGACTTCTCACTTCCATCATCCATGAACTGGATAGACACACGAGTTGGGGAAGATGTCTGCAAGAATCATCACATAATAACACACCATATTAATGTACTTGGACACGGTAACCAAAGGAAAAAAAGAGGGGAGTGTGCAAAGGCAAATTCAGACAAGTAGCGAGGGACCTACACTTTCAAACCGGTAAATGTTCTCCTCATGGAGGAGGACATGAGCATTTTCGTAATAAACTGAATCGACATACTTCTCAGGTTTCCGTGACCTTTCATATTCATATAACTGAAGCAGCTTACCGTCTAGCTCATCACTTGAAACAGTTTGAAGCTGAAGCAAAAATAAATAAATAAATAGAACCAAAAGCATGTTCAAGAACCACCAAGTCGCAGCTTACCAGATTACGTTCAAATAACTAGAGCAACAATACCTGCTTGACCAGTTTATATATCAGTTTGTCCAAAGTAAATAGCACATAAGACTGATTCCCAATGATTGATCGGCAATCATCCTCAAACTTTGCATTATCTGCAGATCCATCTAGCAAACTATACAGTGCACTCATGAATCTGCACACACAGATCAACTGTTGTTAAAAATAAGCAAGCAGACCGAACTTCTGATCTAACCCCAAAGATAATACTTGCAATCCACCTGGCATATGGATCAGAACCAGTATCCTCTCCAGTTCTCCACTTTGATTCAGATGATGCTGCATTCAGCTTTGCCGATAATAACCTTTCATACAAATTCTGGAAAAATAAAAGAGAAAATAAGGAATACAACTTACACATCTTTAGGTTCAGACAAGAGGCAGGGTTTGAAGGGAGTTTTCACTTAGCGGTACCACAATCTAAAAGAAAATCCCCTTACCTGATGAAGCCTAAAAAGCACATAAAAGTCGTCATTTCCATAAAAGACTCGAAGGTCGTTCTTTGCACCCCCACAATGAGGTGAAACCACATGTTTAGCAAGAGGCTTTGAAGTAAGCAAGAAACGTTCAGACATTTGAAGCACAGTGGCATCACCTGCAACAAAGTTTGCTTCACTCGTGCCCTCAGCCTCACCTTCACTCTCAACTTTACCATCAAGCTCGTCATGTTCTCCATCGTCTTCTTCCTCATGCTCCTCCCGAGAGCACTCATCAGCAGCAGACTCACTACCTGAAACATCTCCGGCCTCGGAAACATTTTCACTATCTTCAACGTCAGCATCTGCATCGTTTTCACCAGCAGTATCCTGACAACCAACCATTTCAGCACCTCCAGATTGATATTGCATATTTCCTTTGCATGCGGCACCATCTCGAAAGCCAACAAAATTGTCCTGTTCAAAATCCTGATTAGGCGACAACTCACCTTCTTCTTTCTCATTTTTAGAGGGATCAACAGAATCAGCATTAAACCCATCAATTCTAGAACCTTCAGCAAATCCGCCATTTGCCAAGGGTAGTGATCTTGAAGTGCCACCCTGTGTCAAGAAAGAGAAACCACATTTACCTATGAGCAATCATGATCATCAGCACAAACCAAACTTAACATAGTTAGAGCTTCATACCTCTGAAATTGGCACATTATCAGTATTAGACTTCGCTCCTAGGCCATCCTCAGCAGCGTCATTACCAGGTCGTGTGCCGCGGCCTGGATAAACAAACATCAGTTTGGAAAATTAAGGAACTTGGTCAAAACTAAAAGACACCAACAGTAAGGACACATTTGGTTTGAGGGATTGGGTGAATACTCATGGTTATAGAATTTGGTAGAGCTTTATCCAATGCTATGTTTGTATTTTGAATCATGCATAACTAATCCTGGTATAATTTAATACACCAATGGTGTATTACTGTATACCACTAGCAACATGGGATAACTTATACATGGATAAAGCACCAAACAGACCCCTAAGTCCAACAAATTCAGCATGACCAAGACAGTGGAGAAACATCCATCATGCACCATAAATCACACATAGTCCGGATACATGTATACCTNTTTGCATGCGGCACCATCTCGAAAGCCAACAAAATTGTCCTGTTCAAAATCCTGATTAGGCGACAACTCACCTTCTTCTTTCTCATTTTTAGAGGGATCAACAGAATCAGCATTAAACCCATCAATTCTAGAACCTTCAGCAAATCCGCCATTTGCCAAGGGTAGTGATCTTGAAGTGCCACCCTGTGTCAAGAAAGAGAAACCACATTTACCTATGAGCAATCATGATCATCAGCACAAACCAAACTTAACATAGTTAGAGCTTCATACCTCTGAAATTGGCACATTATCAGTATTAGACTTCGCTCCTAGGCCATCCTCAGCAGCGTCATTACCAGGTCGTGTGCCGCGGCCTGGATAAACAAACATCAGTTTGGAAAATTAAGGAACTTGATCAAAACCAAAAGACACCAACAGTAAGGACACATTTGGTTTGAGGGATTGGATGAATACTCATGGTATAGAATTTAGTAGAGCTTTATCCAATGTTATGTTTGTATTTTGAATCATGCATAACTAATCCTGGTATAATTTAATACACCAATGGTGTATTACTGTATACCACTAGCAACATGGGATAACTTATCCATGTAACTTATACATGGATAAAGCACCAAACAGACAAAAATATCCTTGTCTTTTTCCTAGAAGACTATGAAGGTCAAGCGTCCAAGGGTATAATTGTAAATTCATTGCTTTTTAGTTTAAAAAATAAACAAATACTATTTTATATGATATCTTGTAAATCCAATTTTAGTGCAAAGAACCAAACACCTACCAAGAAATAATCTATGTATTACTAATCCTTGCATCACTAATCTTGCATTATAATCCTTGATTAACTTGTCTTCGAACCAAACGACCCCTAAGTCCAACAAATTCAGCATGACTAAGACAGTGGAGAAACATCCATCATGCACCATAAATCACACATAGTCCGGATACATGTATACCTGAAGTACTTTCCAATCTTGCACAAGCATTATCTGCTCCGAGGGTAGCAACTGCATCAGAACTAAGTAAGCGTTCACCAGCTACTGCTAATCCATCTTCCTTGGGGCAAGCATCTGTATTAGTGAAGATTGCCCTGGAAGAATTTAGCCGTTGAGGGGAAGAATTTGCATCTCCGTTGCAGATATCTTTTGATTGCTTAGACTTAGTAGTGGTAACATCTGCACTTGGACTTCTATCACTTTCGCCAATGCTTGTTCCATTGCTCTTCAAACCATGATACTTTGACAAGACATCGTCGCCAGTAGCCTCAGAGCCATGATGACGATAAGGAACACCAAAGATTGGCTCAAGAAAGGTGGTCCACAGCCTCAGAACTTTATTTAACTGCTCTTCTGTGGAACAAACCTCTTCACAAGAATACTTGATAAGTTTGTACATGTCTTCGTGAACATCAGAATCAGCAAATTCAAATTCAAGATGAGGGCTTATTGGACGTCTACTACCAGCGGCAATAGCAAGAATCATGTCATCTTCTTTCTGCTTTTTCTCCTTAATTTCTTTGATCTCCGCTACTAAGGCTGTCAATCAGAATCATCAAAATTATAAGAAAGAACCACATGAAACATCTAAGTGAAAATATCAATGTCTATACACTAGACAATCATGAAGTTCCTAGGCTTTACATCAACTATCTACTGATCTCACAGTCAAATACTCAGAACTGTGTAGCAGTAGCACATAATAAATAGAAAAAAATACATATAGCATGTAAACTAGGATAACTAGCACCATCTATATGCAAAAAGGAGAACAGGGCAAAAAGCATACTGAAAAGTGTCGCAAGCTCACTAGAACAAGCAGTCAATATTTCCGAAATAAGGCAGCAAGAACATAAATGGAATGTGTAGCAAGTACAGTAGAATGCTAGTACTATCTGTATGAAAAGGACATACACGAAAGTGCAGTTGGAAAGGCTAGCATATATTAAGAGAGTGAATATCCAATTACGATGAATAAAGCTAGATAGTAATAGCAAAGAGAATAAGGAATTGATGGCTCGTCCAGAATGTGTAAGAATAGAAAAGAATAGAAAGAAGCTTTATGGAATAAACAGAACAGATGAATAACGGAAGGCACACAAAACATTATGGTGAAGGGGAGCCTCGGCGTAACTGGTAAAGTTGTTGCCATGTGACCAGAAGGTCACGGGTTCGAGCCGTGGAAACAAGCTCTTGCAGAAATGCAAGAATAGACCCTTGTGGTCCGGCCCTTCCCCGGATCCTGCGCATAGTGGGAGCTTAGTGGACCGGGCTGCCCTTTTACACAAACATTATGGTGCACTAATATAAGTCTAAATGAAATAGCATTGTTAGCCCCATACGACCATGAAAAATGGGGCCACGAGAATTTTAAAAAAAACTGTGAAGGGAAGTCCACAGCGAAAACCAAGACCACCACATACACCAAACAGAGGACTTACATTTTGTGCTAAGGTTCTTTGAATCTTGTTGCTTGAAATAGAAACTTCGGTGGTCAAGCGACTTGTAATGGTTCTTAGAATAAATTTCAGCCCAAACTCTGTTGAAGTCTGAGCGACACTTCGTCCACTCCTCCTGTTTCTGCTTCAAGCGGGTAAATACAACAGGCAGAGCAAGAGGTGGGTTTTTCCGCAAAATGTCCATCACATCCAGGCCATGGTCACCATAGAGACGTTCAATGCACCTTAAATTCAGTGCTACATAAAGTAGAACTTCATGCATCAGCAAACTACAAACTATACATCTTTATGTTAATGAACTGAGCATAAAGACAGCAGCATCTTAATGATATCACAAATGTCAAACCTGTGAAGTGGTCTTCGATGCGGATTGGGCCATCCACACCAACTGAATTATCATTAAGGGCATTCAACAACTCTTCTGCACGCTTAGCAGTTGAACTCACTGACTCCAATAACATGTCTAGCTCAAACCTGATGTTAACAGAATGCAACAAACCATCATTGATAAAATGCAGAAGATAACCACTAAAGGCAAGCCTTAAGAGGATATAATACAGAAGGTTTTATAAGTCAATAAGCTATTTCAAGAACCATATACATTAGGTAATTCTTATTTGACCTAATAATTGCAAAGGAGAGAGGAGTCTCATAGAAGTGATAGAAAGGCCAGATTCCCTGCACTTCTCTTAACTGATTGTTTTCTTAGGATTTATTTTATTTTCTAATGCTTTATCATTCCCAAGTTTTTCTCTTTCCCTTTCCTTTTTTTCTCAATTTCTTTAGTTGGCAATGGGTTAGGGCCTAGGGGTAACCGCTTAACACTTGCAAAAAAAAAAAAAAAACCTACCTANACTTTCCCCAGTATTTCTCCTTGTACCGGTCCTTTTCTTTACCTCCATCAATTTCACGCTTCTGTTCTTTGTCTTTCTCCTCCTCCTTCACTGACTTTGATGTATGCCCTTCATTCCACAAAGATTCTGTTATTAACAGAACACTTCATCAGACTATAGTGATAAAAAATAGGCATCCCAAGAAGACAAAAGAAATGCTTTTCTTCTCTCTTTTTCTTTTTTTTTCGTTTTTCTTTTAGATGGTTGAGTGTCAGGTATTGGCACTACTTACTGTTGCTCATAACACCTGCGAGATATCCATCTGCAGAGTAGGTAACATTCAGAGTCGAATCCCATAGATGTAAAGTTACAATCACACAAACTACAAAAATAACAGAATTACCAATTCGTTCACAGCGCTCCAAGAATTCATAGAATCCCTCCATAAGATCAGGATGCTTTCCAAGTAAATCAGCAACCTGATATATGCATTTCTTTCAAATTCGTGATGCTTAAACAAAAATAAACAAGCAAACCATCTAGATATTGATTCCAAACATTGTAGTGTCATTCAATCCTGTGGAAATCATGATTAAGCTAGTTTTCTACCACATGGAGAGGGATAAAGAGGTCAAATCCCTGGTGAATAACCATCAGAACCAATTTGTATCACTAACATGACTAGTGCCTAATCAATGTCCATAATATGATAGATTAAAATTTTGAATGCCTTCTATATGTTAAATATAACAAAGAAAATCACTGCCATACAGGAGTAAAAAGATCAAACAGACATACCAAACTTTGTAACTCCTTTCTGCTAATTATTTCTGTACTATAAATATGGAGGCACTTTAGGAATGCCTGGTAATCAGTTGGACTGCGTAGTCTCTCCTTTACTCTTTCACAGAAAGTGAACTCTTGGCTATACATATCTGGCACAATCAAGCAAATCATAAAGGTCAATCATCAACTCTCGTGACAACATGCGGGGTACAAAGATCATATGTTAAGAACACCAAAATGAAACAACAAAGTGAAACTCGCATGATAAGAACACCATCCACCAGAATAAAGGAACAATAAATTTCTTGCGACCAAAGGCCAAGCAACAGCAAAAATGACAAGAAAATATTTTAAAGGATCGCCTATTCAAACTTCCGGCATAAGATGGAAGTTTTGTGATTAAGGATGAACTAACAAACATTAGAATTTCAAAACTCGTATAGAAACCTAAGATAAATGAACACCATACAGCAGAACAGATTGTACTGAGGGGTCATAAGCCTAAAGAATAATGGCAGAAAATGCTAACAAAAGAAATTTATCTGCTAACAAAACAAATCATATACAAAACCACTATCATCCTTATATACTAACAATCAGAATGCTAACCATGCACTCACTTTTCACGCCATCTTTATCATCGTAAGTGCCTCCGAACTCTTCAACCTTCCGAGCAGATTTTCTTTTATCAGCAATGCGGAGCATGCTTATATCTCCATTATTCTCATTATCAGGTTCTCTATAATCCTGATCGCGACTTCTGCGGTCCCTGTTCTCTTTTTCAGCACGCCTCTTTTGCTCTTTATGCAACTTTATCATTGATTTATCATCGTCCATCTCAGGGCGTTCAGCACTAGGATCACGTTCTGCATGAGGACTGATAATCCTATCCCGGCGGAAACGTTGCTAGAATGAAGAACAAATAGACTCATCAATATGGTAGTGGAACAAATAGCATTAAAAAACTAGAATAAGATAACAAGATAAATCAAATAGAATACCTTGTCCGTGTGTGGTTGCCGAAGCAATGTAGCAGAGCTCCTCTCATCATAACGATGGAAAGAAGGTCGGCCCAATGAAGTCTGTGTTGCTGATGCAGTAGCTGAAGAATCTGGCAAGAATCTCGTGAACTCATCCAGCAAATCAGGATGGTCTTCAAAAAGTGCTGCAACCTACACATTTAGAGAGAACTGAACACATTAAAAATACGAAAGTTGTCTATCATATTTATGCATCAATTACTCAGTGTTGTACCTCCTGGTACACCTCAGTAATGCCCTTGTGTTCCTTCCTATACATGTTCAAAATGTCTAAGAAAGACTTGTACACGTGATCATCATTTTGGAAACGTTTCTGCAGGAATCAGAACACATATATATTATTAGTGAATGACATAAAGGAAAAAAGGACATATTATTATCACTAGTCACTAGAACTGAAAAGCACCAACATCATTACCTTTATTTTGTTCACAAAGCTGATAGCTTCTTCAAACTCAACTGTTTTCTTTGGAGGAGCCTCCTCTTCTTCAGTGAGGGTTATTTCATAGCCCTTGGGCAAGAAAGTATTGAACCCAAGGATCAAATTTGGATGCCCTTTAAACAAATCTTTTACTCTTGCTATGACACCGGAAGTGTCAATTCTGTGCAGGGAAATCAACATAATTATGCAAAAATTCCTCCATGAATCATCAGATTTGGAATTTTTTATTTTTTTTTAAAAAAAGGCAAGCAACAAACCTTTGAGCCTTAAAGTCTTTCATAACATCAAGGAACAAGTCATACTTCTCCCTTTGGTCTTGAAACATGTCCTTAACTTCCTTCAAATAAGACAATGCATCATTAGTTGTCAACTTTTGGGTGCTAGCACTGGCACCAACACCCCCTCCAGTACCGCCAACACTATTGCCTCCGCCGCCAGCGCCACTTCCAGGAACCTGTGATTGGCCGTATCTTCGTTGGGAGAAAAAGAAAAAATTATACATAGAATCAAACTAAAAATAGCCACGAAATTTATTGCTCTAAACCATATAATTGACCATTTTCTTCCCACCATATGCTTTTAATAGGATAAAAGTACTATTCCCATCCATTCTTAGCACCTTGGTTAGTTCGCCCAAAAGTCATAGTTTCAAATTCCTTTCTCAAGATTGTCATAACTCAACAAAACAAATAAATAAACAGTGATTTTGTTTCTAGTTTTCCTTTGCCCAAGAGATTGACTAAAGAAACATTTTTAAAAAAAAAACATAGGAAAAAAAATTGATAAGATAAACTCACCCCTAACAACCCCCCCCCCAAAACCCACCAGTGTAGGATCCAACAGTGGCCCTTTTCCACTTTGTCCCTTGATGATTTGAACCCGTGGAGGATCCTTTCTACCAAGTACCAACCTATCTGTCCCTTAGCAACTCATAGTTCCATTACTGGGAAGTGAAATGTCTCTCCTTAACGCGAGGTGGATTTAGGATTTGATAATTTATGGGTTCGGAATTCTAGAACAGCGACCTCAAGTGCTAAGAATCAGGTTCGAAATTTAATATTTGTACATAGTGATTTCTTAATGCATATATAAGTCTAGGTCAAAGCTACTAGGTTAGGGTGAATGAATAACTTACACTGCGGATCCGCCCCAGTGACCTTAACTAAATTGTTTATTAAACAGTCTATTACTAGTAGTTAAATACTTTTTAGCAAATTAAATCCATCAAAACAAAAGCAGCATGCATAAAGATCAAATCTTTATTTAAAAATCCGCAGGAAAATCTCTGAGTGGTAGTAGAAACAAAGATACAACCTAACATAAGTCTTAAGGCACGGTGGAAGGTGGAATCTAACTACTTCTGATCACAAAATTTTAGCCATCACAGACCACATAGTAACTAAAGGTCTCTAATTTACTTAAAACTAGCGAAGAAATTCAGCAAGTTCAGAATCTAAAAATATCATAATAGAGAATTTTTAAATAAGAAAATAACCTGATTCAAACCTATAATACAACAACAAAAAACACAAGAAAAGAGAAGAGCTTACGATTCTCCACGAGAAGAACCAAATGGGCGCTTGAATTGAGGATTAGCATAAACATCATCCCGTAATCGCTTCATTAGGTCTGCAAAACACAACAGTAAAAAAAAGTTAAACTTAACAGTTCAAAATTCAAAACCCAAAAAAAAAAAAATTACTCATCTCATTTTTCTAGAAAACTCACCTTTATTTCCTCAGATTTTCTGAGGAAAAATTCAACAGATCTAACCACTGGTTGAAGAAGAAAAAAACAGTTTTAAAGTTTGGATCAGAAAAAGAAATAGTAATCGTTATTATTCTCTATAATTTTGTTCTCTCTCTCTCTAACGTTGGGGAAGAAGAAGAATAACACAAGCTTGAGGAACAAAGGGGGTAGTGAAAAATGTATTAACGTGAGAAAAAAGTGTATTAGCATTAGTATCTTATAACGTGACTCAATTTTTTATATCACACGATACAACATTACATTGCTTTTTCCCAATTTGTTTTTTTGAAATTTCTTGCTCTATGCTTGGGCTTTATTGCATATTGAACTTAGGTTTTCAAATACTTCCTTTCACTTGGGCTCACAGCCTGTAACAAGTGATGTTATGAGCCCAAATTTTTTCTATAGCTCGAGTTTAGGTTGAAGATTTTTCCAATGTATGTTAACTTGAATCAATTATCAATTTTATTAAGAAATGTTTAACATGAGTTATGTTCAGTGTTAGGTTTTAACATTTTGTGTTTATGGTTTAATAATTGTGTTAACACATGTGCACGTAAAACGAAAAGGCGTGTATGTTGCGTTTTAACGGAAATAACTATTTCTTATAACAGATTATGATAATCCCAAAAGAAAATGTAATTTACGAAATTAGGTGATGTAATGATAGAAGGAAGGAAATTTACTTCCAGTTGCATAAATGTATGTTGATTTTCTTACCTAATTGCTGGTTACAAATAACAAATGTAGTACCGCTATATCTATATTATATTAAAAGGAGAGTAGTGAAGCATGTGATTAAGCCAAATGGCAAGCTAAAAAGAAGTCACTTGACAATTTTAAGACAACATTAATAAATAAAAATTATAAATTGAAACATAATTAATGGAAGTATTTTAATAAATTTTATACATAATCTAAATAGATATTAGACAAATCTAATCTATATATCTATATTTATATTTATATTTAATATCTATATTTATATCTATATATCTATAACTAACGTAAATCCACAACTAATTGATCAAGCTTTATAATTAATGGAAATCCACCGCTAATTTGAGCTTTAATTTGTTGGATTCTATTTGTATAACATTAGTAAAAGTTATTAATTGATATTCTTTTGTATCTAATTAATAATTGGATTTTTTGAATTGCATAAAGTGTCACCGAATTGTATAACTAAATAGTACTAAATATTTTTTCCTTTTTTTTTGTTTTTAGATTCTTTATAATTTTGTATCTAGAGAATGTTTTGTGTATAACCAAATAAGCTTTGTATCTCATCTTATTTGGGTACAATATAAATTATTGTAGGTATGTTTAATTAACTAAATGTCTTTTCCTTTTGAAGAAACATTCTCTATAATTTTGTATCTAGAGAATATTTTGTGTATAACCAAATAAGCTTTGTATCTGATCTTATTTGAGTACAATATACATTACTGTAGGTATTTTTAATTAAATTTTTGTGTATAATTCAGCTATGGTCGGTATCCTTTTTTGAGAAAAAATCAATTAAATTTTTGCTTTATATCTTATTTTAAGTTGAAATAATAATTCTTTATTTAGTACAAGCTTTGAATATGACATTATTTGTGTACAATATACAATATTATAAGTATCTTTAATTAAATTTTGTGTATAATTCAGTTATGGTAGGTATCCTTTTTTGAGAAAGAATTAATTAAATTTAATTTTGTATCTTACACATTAATTTTAAGTTGAAATAATAATTCTTTAATTTTTTGGATTCTATTTGTATAATATTAATAAAATTTATTAATTGATATTCTTTTGTATCAAATTAATAATTGGATTTTTTGAATTGCATAAAGTGTCACCAAATTGTATAACTAAATAGTATTAAATATCTTTTCCTTTTGAAGGAACATTCTCTCGAATTTTGTATCTAATTACTAATTGATCTTTTTTGTTCAAGAATTGCTGGATTTGTCATCGAGTTATATAAGGAAATAATATTAAATACCTTTTCCTTTTGAACATTCTCCGGAATTATTTATCTAATCTAATTAATAATTATAAACTGCATAAAGTGTTGTCATCGATTAATATAAGAAAATATTACTAAATATCTTTTCCTTTTGAAGAAACATTCTCTAGAATTTTTCCATGATTAATAATTAAATACTTTTTATGAATGGTATATTAGAACTATGACTGATTATATAAGGAAATAAAATTAATACTTTTTCCTTTTGAACATTCTCCAGATTTGTGTATCTACTTAATAATTGATTTTTTTTAATGAATTGCATATTAGAGATCTCGCTCATTTATCTAAGAAATTAGTATTAAATATTTTTTCCTTCTGCAAAACCTTCAAAATTGTGTATTTACTTAATATTTGTTTTTTTATATATTGCATATTAGAGCTGGCACTGATCTTTATAATGAAATACTATTAAGAATCTCTTTTAATTAGGGTTTTGTTGCTTATAGTTTTTAATATATTAATCATATGACCTACTACAAAATACCTTACGTACAGTTCATTATAAACAAACCTACAATCAATTAGAAATTACAAAATATGGTTGCAACCATTAACTATATTAGTGAAATATCGAGTATCAAAATGGGTTGGAATTGTTAGATATGGCACGTTCCATATCGTGATAAATTAGACAGCCCCTTGAATTACTTATTCAGGATGAAAAGGTGCATACATTTTTAAGTGCTATTAAACTTTTCCATTACCATGTAATGTGGATATTCAAGTTGTTTTGTATTTTCTTAAACTTATGTGTATATTTAATCCACATTAATTACGGTTTTGTTAGGGTCTAGATAGACCAAACGATATGAAATTTAAGATCAACAAGCATAAATTGAAACTGACGTTTTCTCATAGGACGGATGTGGTTGAAATTAATGTTCTGCAGTTTAGTTTGAATATCATCAACTTTAAACCTTGTGAGCATTTGATAAATCAACTTGATGTTGATAAGAATGAACTATTCGGTAATTACTTCATCTTTCATTATTTCTTCTACAAGGTGTTGATCCCACAAATGGCAGATGGAGCAGAATCGAAAATGAAGAAAATCAATCCTACTTTTGCGTGATATAACGAATGGTCAATTCCAAACAGGTAATCGTTTTTCACTATAATTGTGCATATATAACTTACCTAAACTGATTATTGTTCATATACAATTTCACAATCAAGATAGAAGAGAGCGCCTTTTAAGTATTGGTGTCAATGAAATGAGGATACAAAAAAATGTGATAAGCTCAAACATGTTAGTTAATACAGCTGCATTGATAACATAGCGGCTATAAAATAGGGAAGTTTGATCCGTAATTGCAAAGTGAATTTGCACTCTTTGATATATATTTTAAATGTGGATAATTGAAGGAAGCTGAAATTTATCTCAATAACTCCATGAGAATAGCAACATACTGACATTTAGTTAATTACTCATATATCTCGAATGCTTATGAGAGCTGAGATTTTTTTTTTGCAGTACTTCGTATGTTTTTAATCTTTTCTCACTTTTTTTTCTCCTATGCGTGTGTATTCTTGATAATGAGCATACAATGATAAACCAAAGTTAAAAAATAGTATATTAAGTAATAAACTTAAAGTCCAAAATCTACTAAAAAAATATACTAATATATTTAAGAAAATTGATTAAGGGCATGTAGAAGATGAAAAATTAAAGAGATCATTAAACTGATGTAGCTCACAGGCTTCATATGAAGCAAAATTTATAGCATCATTATTTTTCATGGAATATCTATTATGGCGGCGGAATAAAAGTTTTACTGGAGTCTCAAAATATATTTAATGTTTGGTTGTAAAAATGATATCAACACTAACAAATTAAAATATACAGTGTAAATTGTTCTTTTTAATTCTCAGTGCATCGCGCGGGTACAAATACTAGTATGTTGTAAAAAAAAGATAGTTAATAAAGATTATCACTTGGCGGCGGAAAAATTTAAATATAGAATAATATGTACATTAAGTTTTTCTTATTTGATCTATCAATGTTTGCTTACTGGAAAACACAACCGTTTATTAACTACTGCGTATTGAACATTTAAGAAGATTTCATGTTGGTGCCTATTGAGAAAAAATAGAGGGGTATACTACTGTTGATATGAAACTTATATATTCGAAGTGAAACGTTTTGTATTATGTTATTATATTTCTAAATAATAAAACAATCATCAACTAAAAGACGTTTATTAAATACAACTTATATTAGGGCAAATCAACATAGCACTATATTGGTTTATGCATAGAAATTGGTGGTACTGCACAAAGCTGGTTTATGCAAGTATGTGTATTGTTCTATGTGATATAAAATAGTACTATCAAATAAGAATACGTATATTAGCAGCACAGGAATTAAATTATCTAAAGACAAAAATATCTTTTAAAAGTAAGTAATTTTTATGTATAACGTAAAATTTCTTGATTAATCACCGTATAATAAATTTTTTGTTTTTCATCATCAAATAAACAATACATGCACTATAACTCGCACATATTTGTAACGTGGAACTACCTGAGACTATTACAGATTATGCCATACAGAGATTATTTGGTATAGTTAGAACATTTATTGACGTTTCACCAGATAAGCATTAGTTTTGGGCGCTGAAATATTAAGTTTATATTCAATGAATATTAGCTTACACATGAGGTCATATACTTTGACCAAGTTGAACTCCCATTGTAGACTTTCTAGAAAAATGCTTTGGCAATTTTTTTTTGGAGAAACTCTTTTAAAAAAGGTCTTCTTACGAAAGTAATTCAAACTAATTCGGTCGGCTGCTATTTTTAAAGATTTGGGATTGTTTCCACAACTAACACTTCACCTTTTTTTGTAAAGGACTACAAATAAAGAGAAAATTTATTATATCTTACCACCAAAATTCTAACATATTATTATATCTTTAAAAAAACTGCAAAACACCTAAAATATGATAAATTGCGGCATGTATAAAATTACCATCGACAACTCACCTATGGTAAGTTTTTCTCTATAGAATAAGCAATATAATTTTTAGCAAAATGCCAAGTTGTATACATATAATCAGGGTTGACATTCTTACACAAGTGCAGTACAAAATACAATTGACCTACGAAACCGTACAGTCAAAGCCCAGATACGCTGGGCTTGGGCCCAGGGTATATAATCGGAAACGTTGGACTAGATTTGGT